GTGCCGACAGCCCAGGATCAGAGCTCTGCAGCAGGGTTCAGGAGCCAGCAGGGCCGGGGGGAGACTGCCAGCAGTGACTCTGGGGCCACAGAAATGTCTGCCAGTAGAGAGCAGAGCTTCATGTATGTCACTCTTAAGTTTTTCTTCTTCTTCTTCTTTTTTCTTTTTGAAAACATATCATGGTAATTGCAGTCCCGTTGCACCATAGCCACTAACTGACATCTGGTTGTTGCATTTTCCTTTTTTTGCATTTCAGGTCTTCTTATTTACTGAAAACAGCATCAAACCGTAAAGTGACAGTTTTGTTCAAAAGTCTTGAGTCTTCCAACAAGACAATAATTAAAATTGTCTTGAGCAGCAGTTCAGGCTTTCTGAAGGAGCTTTTCTTTAGACATTGGGTGCTTTTTCTCTCTTTTTCAGTTCGGCTCCTGTATCAGAACACTTTTTGTTTGTGATGCTACTTAACATTGACCCGTGAATTATTCAAGCATAAAAAAAGGGGATGAACCAGTGTTAAACTGCATTTTAGATACTTTGTTACTGGTCGCCTATCACTAAAACACAGGATGCTCTCATTTCTTTAGTTGATTCTACGAAAATGGCAAACACGCATAACTTACACGAGAACTTGAAAATCAGTGGCAGCAGATCGTACAGAGTGATGTGGACTGTAGTGGCTTATAATCTCCTGTAGTTCTCTATTAAATGTAGAGACTGGCTCTCTTAAAACAACAATGGAAGTGTTGTTGCCAAAGATGAAGTACAAAAATGATTTAACCAAAAGTGAAAATGACTGAGAGGCATTAAAGCTGTGAAACCTTTGACTCGTTTCCTGTTAACAGTGAGTGTGTTTGTGTTCAGGCCTGGTGAGAACATGATGCCCACCGACTTTGAGCTGAACCTTGTGATAAACAACCTCCAGGACCTCATGTACACGGCTTCCGACATCAGCCATGACCGCTGCGTCAAAGTGCTCACAGCCCGAGCCAAGGTACGGTGTCCATGTGTCTGTATTTGAGGTTTTCTATGGAAAAGGATGAAACCTGCAAATGTAATTGAAGTGTTTGTGTTTCCGTTTAACAGGATGGATCTCTGGAGCGTCTGACCTCAGCGGAGTTCGTTTGTCTCTCACAGGCAGTGGAGGGATTTGTCAGGGACACAGAGGAGCTCTGTGGCAGGCGAAGCGTTTCCCTGAGGGGCGCGTTGCAGAGCCAGGCCAACCGCTTCGTCCACCGCTTCCACGAAGAACGCAAGACCAAACTCAGGTAACCTGCAGTACCGTTGTTTTCAGGATCAGGAGGTTTGCTTAGGAATAAGCAAATGGAATAAGCAAA